ATTAAATGCATGCACAGTCAACGAGGACCAAATATTCGTGCCCGCACTTCACAGGTTGAGCAGTATAGCCGTTCACTCGCGGATGCATTGTAGTGGATTGTGCCGGGCCCACGGTGCCGTGGTGCTTTGGGCAGGAAGACTGCACGTATCACTACAGTGACACTGGGAGCAGTGCAACTTGGGTCCAGCGTTAAGTTAACTTAAAACTGACGTCTCATAAAACCTACATATTATTAATCATTGTGCTAGCAGGAGACGTAGCAGTGAATCCAGGCCCATACCGACCCAAACATCCATGTGCGGTATGTAATAAGGCAGGTAAGTACGGTCAACAGGCAATGGAATGCGAGGGATATGACTCAAGGTTTCAAGAAACCGCATTGGCATGAATGAATACATCTACAATGTACTCACTGAGCACCCATCATACTCATGGGTATGTTGTAATTACTGTTGTCTTCTGAATTTCGACTCTTCAAATTTTAGCAATTGAAGCATCGATTTGCCGAACAGTTTTGATGACCTCAGTTTATCTGCGGAGTCTGATGTTGTATTCAATTTGGCTTCACCTAGACTGAGGACATCCACTCCCATCCCATAGCGTAATTTAAATGACGCTAGCAGTAATTTGGGGGCTAGTGCAAAGTCCGAGAAGACAAAATTTGGCAACAACAAAATGCAAGAAATATTGAAACTTCTTAGCCTCAACGCTTTTATAGAGCAGGAGAAGCCAGGTGTGATAATCGGTACAGAACCATGGTTTAATAACAGACATTGCCGCTGGGGAAATTTTCCCTATATTTTACCAAGTGTTTAGGAAAGATAGAGAAGGGGGTTCCCATGGGGGTTTTCATCGTCATTGAGAATACGTGTATTGCCACTGAAGAAAACGATCTCGACAAAAACTGCGAGGTGCTTTGGGTTAGTATTCATATCAAGGGGTTGAAACCGACATACACTGGGGAATTCTATCGCCTTCCATCATCAGGACAGGAAAACTTCAAAGAACTGATTTGATACCTTTATTGTCCTTACAGAAATTTGTCTTATACTGGATTTTAAACACAAAACATAACAACAATATTTCCTCACAACAAGATACTTCATATCAACCCTATCCACCAGAATCGCAAAAACTGTGTGATTCAAAAACTACTAGGTTTCACAAATAGAACAATTAATGTTCACATAAAAATCACAACTGTACTGAAATAATTTCCCCCCCCCCCCGTCGAAAGATTATGCAGCAGCATCCAGTGTTCATCTAGTAACTTTACTATTGAAGGAATGAACTGAATCAGGTACAGATGACGGTCTATATTGAGCTGTGTTGCTACGGGAACGCACAAGCGCAGTCCTGATTTGTTGAAACTTGGACAGGGTTCTATCAATGTACAGACTTTCAAGAGTGGGTAATTCCAAGCCAATAATTTTTTGAGCTGTTTTCCAAGGCCGATCCATTTTATCCCTGTTTTGCTCAGTAAGGTTACCATAGAAACAAGTCAAATTAAATACGAATATGGACTTTATAAATGACTTATAAAATAAAGCCAAATGTGTGTTGTCCAAATGAAGTTTCTTCAGTTGTCGGATAAAAAACATGCGTTGATTTGGTTTCTTTTGTACTTCAACTGGGTTACTTGACCAATCAAGATTACTGGTAATTTTGGTGCCCATGCAGATACTTGTATTCTGAAACCTGCTCGACTACACTCCATAAATGGTCACTGGTGCATGTTCATTTCCTTTATTTTTCCTAAAGTCCATAATTATTTCTTTTGTTTTCATGACGTTCAATTGCAAAAAGAATGTATGTTGCACAATCTACAAACTTATCAACGACTGAAAAGTAACGCTCTGCATTTGTCTCCTCCAAAAAAAACCTGAAGTCACTATGTCGTCAGCATATTTAATAATTGAACATTGGTCGTCTGTGCTAACACATTCACTGGTTTATAATGCAAACAGGACGGGTGACAGAACGCACCCCTATGGGACACCAATGCTACTTATACAAACATCTGAGAAGGTACTACATACTTTCACCCTTTGTCGCCTATGCCAGAGAAAATCATGGATCACCATCAGTATTTGTGGGTGTACATTTATGTTCACCAATGTCTGAATCAGTAAATGCGGAACTAGTGTGTTAAATGCGCTAGAGAAGTCACTGAATGTTGATCTTACGTGGTTTTAACGTTGTCCAAGTGTGAAAGAGCCCTGTGCAAGTACAACAAGACAGCGTCCCCAACTCCCTTGTTTTCTCGATACGTAAACTGCATGAGATCCAAGTGCATAGTAGATTGTTCCAACAGATGTTTCGAAAAAAAAAATTTCTCAAACATTTCATTACGCTGCAAATCAAAGCCACTGGTCTAAAATCATTCAATTCACTAGGATTTTTCACTGGAACTGGAAGAGTCCCTATCTAGAATCCCAAAGACTGCTTCTGTGTGGTTACTGGGAGATTTTAACCTCCCTGATATCGATTGGACTGCCAATTCCTTATGTACCAGAGGAAGAATTTCAACATGCAGCAAGATCATGTTGGACTTGGCAAATGATTTTGTAGTCAGTTGACAAACCTACCAGAGATAGAAACATCCTTGACGTGTGCTTGGTTCGTCGTCCCTCCTTTGTAGAGAGTTTTGATGTAACAGAAGGAATAAGTGACCATGAAGCTGTTGTTGTCTAAGCTAAAATATCGACTAAAGCAACTATACCGCCGAAAAGGATGATCTTCTTCTACAAAAATGCACACTTAGTTGCCATAGATGACCTCGAATCAGCATTTAAAAAGTTAACAGAGACCATGAAGTATCAATAGATATTAATACATTATGGCTAGATTTCAAACAGGTAGTCGTCAAAGCTATGGATCGTTTTATTCCTTCTCAAATGAGTTTCACCAGACTAAACCTGTCATGAGTAAACTCTTCAGTTAGGCGTGCGATAAGGAAAGAACAGAGACTCTATAATCGGGCAAGAAACTCTGGGTCAGCTTCTGCTTGGGCAGACACCAAGAAACTACAGTGGTCAACTGATAGACAAGTCAGGAAAGCACAAGAAGAATACATCCACGATGTGATAGGGGAGAGCCTAAAATCGGAAGACACACAGCCTTTCTACAATTACAGGAGAGGTATTTGGAATCTGAAGCCTAACATCGCTGGGACGCACAGTATCTTCAGCAGTGGACAAGGCTAAAGTGTTAAACGAGCGGTTCTGTTCAGTTTTCACCAAAGAAAACCTTAACGACCTTCCACCTCTGAATTCGCAACCAATTCCAAAAATTGCAGCTTTCACAATAACTCCAATTGGGGGTAGAAAACTACTGGAAGAAATAAAACCAAAGAAAGCGTTGAGACCTGACCAGATACCAGCAAGTATTCTAAATAGTTGTTCAGCAAGCTTGGCTCCAGTCTTTCGAAAGATTTTCCAGAAGTCTATTGACAGCGGGAAACTTCCGGAAGACTGGCTGAACGTCAACATAGTTCCCATATTCAAAAAAGGCGACAGAGCAAATACAGCAAACTATCGCCCAATCTTGCTGACTTTGCATTCCATGCAAGATTCTTGAGCATATAATCCACCGGCACATCATGGACCATATCGACTCTCACAAAGTACTCATGAATCAACAAAATGGTTTCAGACAATGTCGATCATGACTGTGATACACAACTGGCTGGACTTATCGATGATCTTGCCAAGTCACTTGACAACAAAAGCCAGACTGACTTGATCATGTTAGACTTCAGTAAAGCCTTTGATAAAGTCCCTCAAAAGCGACTCTTGTTCAAACTCAGACATACTGGAATACACAGCAGCCTCCTGAAGTGGGTTGAGATCTTCCTCCCTAGAAGAAATCAACGAGTCTTGCTAGAGGGCGAGACGTCAGACAAAAGCTCAGTGTCTTCAGGTGTACCCCAGGGGACTGTGATGGGTCCCTCGCTTTTCACGTTGTACATTATAATGACATGCCAAACGTAGTTTCATCTAGAGTCCGCCTTTTTGCAGACGACACTATAACTTATAGAGAGATAAAAACACCAGATGACAGTTCATCTCTTCCAAACGATCTGGACGCTCCCTGTGATTGGGCCAATACGAGGCAGGTGTCCTTCAATACAACCAAGTATCATACTATGCACATTTCACACGAGACTAAACTGTTCTTCTCGGCATACAATATGTGAGTAAAACATTTATTTCAATGTTGTCATTCTTTACAATAAGAAAACATGATTCACATTACTTAAGTACTGGGTTCATGGCCATTAACTTGAGCAACATTACATAATGTATCTTTTTACATTTATATATAAATTAGATGAAAACATTTAGGTTAAAGGTTTAAAAAGAACGCTTCTGTACCCCAACCTACGGAGAGACAAACAAAACTATGCACTCTAACATGCTAGGACAGATAAATAACGAACATGACAAAACCAAGACAAGTGTGAGACAACACATTGGGGTAATCATACTCTGTTTGCAATCATTTTAAATGTGTACCTGCAAAACCTGCTGGGGCATTTAAGGCCGCTATCAGACTGCCAATCATCCAGGTGTCGGCTATGAATTGGTCCTGCAGCGTGGGCGACATCACTCCTAGGCCTCCCAGGAGTGATGTGCTATGCTCCTTAGAATTTAAAAGAAGAAAGAGGGGACCTCCGTGCAGATTTTTCAGAGCCTAAGAGTATTAAATGATACCTTCACACACCGATGTAAACATGACAAACGTAACAAGAAAAACAAAAAGGCATGGGAAGACTGAAATCTTGTCCGAGAGATTCACCCCCCCTCCGGCAGTGAACAGGTGCCAGGATCCCCAAAAGCATTGATGCCCGATTTGGATGTTTGGAGGCCAAAAACGTACTCCCGAATAACGTATACTTCATATGATCTATGGGGCTCTATTTACACAAGAGAAAGTACCCAGCAAGATGTATTCACGACTTTTCAACTCAAAAACCAATAACAAGCTCGGCAATGGCTGTGGATATGAAATTATTTAATATGGATATTACTTGCATTAACTTGGAAAACGTATGTGCTTATTTTCTGGCATAAATGCGCTAGAACGAACCAATCCATAAACAAACATAACAAGTAAAATGTGAATTTTGTGCACATTATGCACGATATATCGGTTTACGGTTTCCAGCTTACACCCATTACTTGCAGTTAATATCAGAGTGCTTGTACGTTTTGTAAATGGTACCAAGCTGAACTACTCAGGAGAATAAGATGCCTATTTTCTAAGATGAGTGTTTTAATTCTACCTCAAGATTAAACCTGCTCCATTTTCTAAATAAATGCCTCTTGGAAAATTTGAGTAAATCCAACATGGTTTGGGGGCACCTCAGCAAGCCAGAAAATTTGCAATGCAAGGATACTGTGCTCTGCTGGTTTCGTTTGTAACATTTTCATAATTGACCAAAATTCAGACTCGAATGTTTTTTCTTATTAAATAATGGTGTATACAGGTCTCTAACCTTTTAGAAGTTTGGTGATACATTACCCCCCCAAAAAAATCCACTGCCCATAAAAATAATTTGATTTCGTTTTTGTTTTCAATCTGGGTGTCGTTATACGCCATACACCAATAATTCCCCGTCCCCTAATAAAAACTCTTGGTTAATAATTTGGATTTACATATGGGGTAATTTTCCAGAATTTGATAAAACCCGAAATCGTTCACCATCATATATGACCAATATTATTATCAATACTCAAATTACACACCTTTCAAAATAAACGTTTAGTGAAGCACTAATATCCGTAGCATTTACTTCTCGTTTACTTAAATTGGGCATTTTCATTCTGGCGAATTCCTCTTTACATGGATATCAAAAGTTGATGTGCAGCATGATGATTGGGACACTATGGACATTCAGAGTGATCTCTCCTTATGTCGATTTAACAGCACCTCCGCCAACAGCGACACCAACGACAGACTAGCTATACATGCCAAGATGACGAACGCTATTTCGAAGCTCCCAGATATGTCAAACATCAAACCTGCAACAGGTTGAGGAAACAAGAAACTTCTCTGAGGGGTGAACGTAATGGTAACTTCTAAGATTATTGTAAGGTGAGGAGGTGGCAAACGCTTTGAACACGGGCCAAGTATCTTAAAATTATAGTTCCTTAAATAACAGTGGAATAAACCTTAGGCTGCATCCGAGTCTGTTGTCTAGAGCTAGGTCTTGGTCTTCACTCCGTTGAAAATGTGCCAAGACGCGCAGAAAATAAACATAGCCGTAGCTCTGGAAGCCCGTTTCGGACACGGCCTTAGTCTTCCTTCGGCCGAAGGGTCATTAATCACGAGTCACGGATTTATCCGCCTTGGACAGATGCACCCCCTCATCGGTTGAAAAAAAGCTACGTGTGTCGAGCGTGTTTCTTTTTTATGGTAGCTACGTGATCCTAATGCACGTATTTCAGCCGTTTGTAAGCCTGCGAAGTGCAGTTACTACCAAAGGAGCCTCCTTTGCGCTCTCTCTTGGTCCGGCTAGGGCTAATAATCGTGGCTGCAAGATGCAGGTGCTCGCTAACACCACGGACCTATATAAAAAACCTGGACTTGCAACGCCTTTGTCTGAAAAAGAAGCCGACCAGCGGCCATTTTACCGAACCGAATACAAAAGCGTAGGTTGGCTCTCTTCTATTGACGTCAAGAAGAACAAAGGCGGGCATTGCCAAGAAAGCTTTGTATTCGGCTCGGTAAAATGGCCGCGAGTGGATTCAATGACTCTATAAGCTGATTAAGGGCATTGCGATTTTATTATACACGTCCGTGGCTAACACACAGTGCAGCCTCTAACAAGGTAATAACAAGAACAGCGCGCTCGTTCACTTAACGTCTTTATCTTCTCCCTGTAGGCTTGGCTTGCCCGAAAACAAGTACGTTAAACTTTAAAACCAAATGTTTTATTCAGTCGCAAGACTTTTGTCTTTGCATGACGCAAGATTACCAGTCTCAAGTGAAAGGACACCGTTTGTTCAAAGATATTAATAATTTGCACCTCAGGGTGGAGTGGGGTGGAACACAAACCATGATTCGACTACCCATCGCTACTTATAATCGAGGCCTGTGCAGCAAAATAGCCTGCAATAACTGTGATGCTAATATGTTATCGTGTGATAACATAATAGAGTAGGCAAACCTGTAAGTGAGGCTAGTCAGCCTATCGAATGTTTGCATTCAGAAGGATCAAGCAAATATTTTACAAAGGCATTTTGCTGGGGTGAAATTTTTTCAGAAGTAAAGGAACAGGAAAAATATCCAGATTCTTTTCTAAGGATTCCGAAAGCGAGCCATCAGGGGTCTACTGCGGCTCTTCCACATGAAACTAAAACGCAGTACCACACACGAGGAAGGTGTAGCAGCTTTTCAAACGTGGCCTTTTACCTGGGAAAAATCCAAAAGCAAGAACAAGCACTGCCGTTAAAACACCTATCCAGCTGAAAGCGGCGGCTAAATCTTCAGTTCCAAGCAGTTCGCGGGTGTAAATGTCACTCAGTACGGTTAACATTCCACTGAGGCCATGGTAGAGAAATGCATTGACCATCATCGCCCAGTATGAGTTTATCCAGGTGAGGGTGAGTAAAGCCAGCGAACTCGAAGTGATTGTCACAAAGAGACTGAGTCGTACGTTAACCAACCCTCTGCCTAAGATAAGGCCAAAGATGATCTTGGAAACCATATTTCCTATACCTCCAGCTAGAGTGAACGTTACAGCCTCGTGTCCAGAGAAACCTTTCGTGTCAGCGTAAGCTACGAAGTACATCAGCCACATATCTGTCGCAAAAGAATCACACCCAAAAACAGGAAACGCAATCCAGAACTCGGCTCGGCCACAAACTGAGCATCCCAACAACTTCTTTCCAGCTGTAATGGCGGCCTTCAAGACGTGGAGTTGGGATTGTTTCTCCGTATTGGGTTTTTCTGGTATACTGATAGGTGGCTCCTCTTCACTGGAGACAATCGGTACGTACTTGTCCCGTACCTTTACAGACTCAGTTAGCAAGAAGGCAAACGCACAAAGATGCAGACTTATTGCCCCAAGGAGTAGCAAGGCACCTCGCCAGCCGTAGGTGTCTAAAAACACTTGAGCCAGGGGTCCAATGAACATCATGCCCAGAGCGTGGCCTGAGCTCCCAACACCAGTAGCGATGGCATAGCCTGTGGTGAATTGACGTCCGGCCATTGCTCTGGTCAAAATACAGATGATAGACAAACCAGGTCCTGCGCAGAGTTAACAAAAGAAAAGAAAGTGTCGAGATTTGCGTTTTCTCTATAAAAGTGATAAAGAAAACTAGTTCTTCAAAACAAAACGAGTAAATTGAAACATATGAACAAAGCGTTTCATAATTATGTTGTCGAGTTTTCCAGAGAGACGTTGAGAGCAATCCATAGCCCTAGCACCCATTGACCAGATTGTACGTATTTTGCACTGGACCCGCTCGTAGTTGCACATCCCTGTTTAATTAAAATGATCGGTGCGTGGATGACATGGGTAAGCAGAAACTCGTACATTTTATCATTTTTATGACGTACCCGGTTCGTAAGTGACTTCGTCACAAAGGCGGTCGCGCCATGATTTGCAGGCTCCCACTGGACGATTGCTGAAGTTGCGCGTCAACTTCCGGTTCCATGGTTCCGTGTAAACGGCCATCAATGCATGTAACTCTATGTGCAGTTCATGTGCAGTGGGCGTGGTTTAAACTGAAGTGACGTCACACTTACGAACCGGATAAGGTAAACCAATCTCAGGGCGTAAATATTCCTAACCGTAGTGGTATCCCTTGAGATCGAAATATGGAATCTTTCCTATTGCACTGTGTACACTGCTTTCTACAAGGTTTGTAAAAACTTTATACAGTTGTGGATCGAGGCAAGTGAAATATATGAAAGTGAAAAACTATTACAGTAATATCATCTTACTACGTGTAGAGAGGAATGCAATGGAAAGAGTCATTTTTCAAAGCCCAAATGGTGTGACCATTCGTCTCAAACAAAAAAAGCATCTTGTGCATACCCTGAAGGGTACATCCAATAGTACATATTCATGCAGCCCCTGGGGGACTTTCTATGCCTTTACAACATATGAAGATCTAGACTCTAGACTCACAGTCGTTAATTGGCCACTCTTGGTCGAAGTTGAACCCGCCCGAAATTTGTCGATCTTGATGTGGCTGGTTTTGAGTATACTTGAACCAGTTGATCCGGCATAGAGGAAGGACAAAGATGGAGTTGCAATTCTGGTACTTTAAAGGACTCGATGGTCGTAGCCACCGGGTCAGACAAGTAATAGAAGACATTCCAAAAATGCCTGAGTGCTGCCGGCAGGTCTTAGGTGGACAAGTGGGGCCAGTAATATCTATGCAATACTTGTAATATTTTGCTTTCCATTAAATACATATTATTGCTATGACCAGCAAATACAGGGAAGAAGATCTTTTATGTTAGACCTACTTTTGCCATCGTGAATACTGAAAATAGCTATGAAACGTTTGTAATTTTATTCTATTCTCCCTTCAGTACATCATTTTTCGAAGGCTAACTGGTACGACTTTGGCCAAGACTGGCCAACACAATGTCCACCACTACTAAAAAGCTTTATAAGGAACAAAGTGTGCTATATCACTACAAGGAGTAATCATATGATTCGGAAAAATTATATAAAAAACACTAAATTAGGTAAACAACTCGGTTATTTTTTCTCAAGATATCTCTAGAAAAAGTGTTGCGTAGAGCAGATTTGATACACTGGGGATCCATTTTTTCCTAATTACGTAATGCAAAAACCTCCTGTTAATTCGTACCTCTGTTGATGCTGAACAGCCTAGTTTAGTCACCTTTAACATGGGGACTTCCCCTGAGCTGCGTAACTCTTTTCCATAGCCCGCCTCCAGCTAAGTCCCATGGGGATTGTATGTTAATATCTAAACCACGTGCTGATAAGGGATTATTGACAAAGAAAGTGCCTGGGCAAGTCTGGGCCTGTCTTATATCAATGGTTGGTCTCTCTTATGTGTCTCTGAGCTGTAGACAGCTGTTTGAGTAGTTTCATTGTGTTGGGGTGTCATATTTTTATGGTTATAACAAATGAGCGTAAAAAGTAGGCTCTGTGCAGTGAATTTAATGAATTGATACACGTATGACGCCCTTTGAGCATTAACAGGAAAATGTCGGCCCTTTGCAGATAATTGCCAATTGCACATATAAGACTTAGGACACACAGCATAACACAAGCAACTGCGCAAGCATTATATATAATGTTGTTACAAGATCTCACCAAAGACCGTGCATACATCAATCTCCTTTACTTCAGTGCACAGAAATCTAACGACACAGAAAACCAGCGCAGCAGAGCCTGAAAGTCGACCCGTGATGGCGCGCTTCCGGAACCCTTGGATAGGAAAAGTAACGTGCAAAGATGTTCGAATTTGTAATATTTTTCGTTCAGATACTTCTTAAAAAATCCATCTCGAAAAAGGGGCTTTGGAAAATATTTGCTAGTATATCAAATTATAGAAACGGAAAAATCACCTTACCTGAAAGAGGAATATCCTGTCAAATCTTGACCCATCACTTCCAAAAAATACATGATGAACAGTGCAACTTGAATGCCCCAGTCTCGTGCACAGTTGAATAATTACAGTTTGAAATTTTAAGGTGGTCCGTCGGTGAAAACCGAAATAAAAACAGATCAAAATATTTTAAACAGTCTTATAATTTATAAGTAGTAAACCTAAAGCAACATTCTACTTCAATTACGAAAGATTCTAATTTTTTATCTAACCATTGCTTACAACAACGGCATGATGTCAACTCAACGGAATCTGGAACCCATCGACTGTAGGTTGGTAAATCTTTGCAACGTTGAACAATCTCATTTTCAAGTAAGCATGGGCAGTGAAAACAACTTGCATTAACATGGAGACCTAGGTACGATATCGCCGAAAGTGAAAGGTTGTTAAGAAAATTCATTTTTTACATATCTCAATGTAACTTTTCCTAAATGTTACTTGAGGGAGACAAAGGCAAAATTCCAACATGAGTGTTTCACGGGCAAGTCTCAGTTAGGAATTATCCTTCCAAAAAGTATGGAACTTGATAGGACGGCCCCACGTAAAATCCCCACAGGAGGACCGCGTGAGGGTTTCGGAAGCTCGCTGCGTGACCTTTTACTTTCAGGCTCTCTTGTGGCAACGATCATAGTGTACAAATGAGTTCCGTGGTTGTGAAACAGATGGTGCGAAGCAAGCGCTCGCTGCGTTTGCCAGGCGACAGACATACCAGTGTAACGGTCTCATTTTTTCTGGCGTGCTGGGATTTCCGGAAGAACGCACTCGATATGTAAGCACTTTGCCGCAAACGTGCCCATTTATCTGGTATGCTGATTTTTCCAGTCGCATACGTACCGTATACATTTACAGGGTCTTGTTTACATTTACAAGACCCTGTGTACATGTATACGGGTAAATACAAGGGAATATACATATGAGACTGGAAGCTAGTTTAGTATTCTGCAAATCACAGCCGTCTAGGGGGTGTAAAACAATGGGCATTTTTCAATGCTAAATTACTTTGTCAGAATGACCACGTAGAGCAGGGGCTAAAGCTTTCACTGCGCTCTACACTAATGCTGCTGTCATTTATTGGATATTATCATTAAGCCAGACAGTCAGAAGTTACTGGACGCCCCTTGCGTTACTTGGAGCCTGGTCTGGGATGTAATGATCCTCTCTGCCGATTCCGTTATCCCAGAAGGATACGACCTACTTCGCAGATACCGTTTGTTCTGTGACGTTTTTTCTTGTTCGCTTCAGCCATGCCATGAACAACGGAATTTCCACGAAAACCACTTCGAAGGAGGCGCACGGACGTACGTACCGTGCACTATTTACGACAACGCGACGCGTCGTGCGTGTACAAACGAAATGGCAAGAAGGCGACGGTTCGACCCGACAGCATGACGCAAGGACCCGTCGTGCCGTCGCGTCATGTAGTTGCGTTGCCTAGAGGGAGGCAAGAGAGAGAGAGAATTTTTTGTCGTAAATAGTACACCATACGTACGTCCGCACAAAGGCCTATTGGCGCGGCGTGATCATGTGATGTATGAACTCCGCACAACATAAAGCTAATCAAAAACGGGTTCACTGCGCATACGTTTGAGTCCCAGTTCGGGTTTGCTCGGCACGGAGTGTTCGCATACTACCCAGAAATCTGAGCACGCAAAAAAAAAATGAGACCAGTAGGCCAGAAAGCAGTAATTGGATAGATGTTATTGCCTCGATCGGCAGCTCAAACTCCTGTATTCTTCCTCCGTGCTTGATCAAACACATTCAAAGCGGTGTCCTTCCTCTGTGGTTGATCAAATACATTGAAAGCATACTTCTTTTCCACATTTAGTTTAGCACCCACAGCTCAGCGGCAGAGAATTATCACAAAGGCCAGCAAAACAAGTTCCAATAGACTACCTGCCAGTAAGCATAACGATAATGCCACATGGAGAGTACTGGTTGAAAAAGACGAGAGAATCACAGACGCTCCACTGAGGAAACTGCTAATTATGACCACAGTACGAGTTCCAAAAATACGATCTAGTGGCCCAGAGAAGGGACCTGCGTAGATGACATAACATCATTAACAGCTACAATTTAAAAACTTAAAAGGAATTAGGCAAAGTCACAGGAGCCATACACTTGGCAAACTGAAATGTTTACATGCTTGGGATGTTTCGTAAATCGTCGTGGCTCCCCTCGTGCCTGATATCCATGGTTGTTTCTTGCATCAAGCTCTGTTGTTCCTGAAAGCCCTGTCACAGATTTTCTAAAGGTGTTTTTTTTTCTTTTTTCCAAAGCCTACCTGCAAAACCTGCCGCGGCAACCGAGGCCGCTATCAGACTGCCAATCATCCAGGTGTCGGCTGTAAATTGCTCACGAAGAGTGGGTAGTAGCACCCCCAGAGCTTTGGTGAGGCCCGCCCAAAGCATCGTGCTAACGTGCATGCACAGTACGATGTGAACACCTTGGAAATAACGTGTACCGCACCTACCAACCATCTTGGAATTTCCCCGGTTCGAAATCCTTTATTTCTGCAAGAGGCTGTGGAAGGTTTTAATGTATGGATTTAAAAATAATCTTCATGTATTTTTTAGGAGATTTAGATAAATTAAGCCAAATTATCCCTAATAGGAACTTAAATAAATATCCCCTACCACTGAACTTCAAGGAAAATTTCCATCTCGGCAGAATTGAACTGGGAAATAAATAATAAGGTGAAAGGGTATTGTCCTTCGATTGGGATAGTTACCGTATAGGAGTATACACTTCCAATTCAGCTCCTATCCCGCTTCCAGACAACAGCCAGAAAAAAAGGAATAAGGAGTAAAGAAGACTATTTTGTCGAGCTAAACTTCTTGTCGAGGCTTTGCAGTCAGCCTTGACAACTGAACTCGTCGAAGGGGTGATGGCGACTGCTTTTAAGTAAAACCAGGGAAAGCGTGCTCCTCTCCATGCACAAACACAAAAAGGACTCTGCCGCTGAATGGCCAGTGTTCTTTTGTTACTGGCCTAATCCAGGCAACAACTATTTACAGGAGAAAAGCCAACCAACATCTGCTTGTGGCCTTTCTCAACCAAATCTTCAAGGGGGTGCCATTCAACGGCTGCATGCTGCAGTTGTAGTAGGAATTTCACTACATATTCAAACTTGCCCTAATTTCGCACCGGTACAATCACTACAAGAGCGGGAACCTTTTTTTCTTGGTGACCTATACCGTGCTCATCGAAGTTCAGAGGAGAACTGTTAATAGGCTTGGTAACCTGTGTTTCCTACTGGTAAGGAAATATTTCTTGTGCTTCAAAGGCTAACGAAGACCTAAGTGAACACATTGTTTATTAATTATTTGAAATATTTACTAGTATGTCAGTAATACGATCGGGTATGTAAAAAAAAAAATCCCCCTTCTTGTAGTTAATTGTATTTAAATGGACGTTTTATCTAAATTCAATCCAAAATGAGTCATGGGACATGTTCGGAAGAAAACAGCATGGCTATAGATAAGCGCACTCAACAGTTTGGAACTCGCCCAGAGACAAACATTGACGTCGGGTGCACCACCCCATTCAGGGGAAATTCCTAGCCTGGTCGAGGCGCTCAAAACGTACCCCCCCCCCACACAAATACATTCGAAAAGAGGGGTCTGTGTGGGCCACGGACGTGTACAATAAAATCTGGACTCGCAATGCCCTTAATCAGCTTATAGAGTCATTGAATCCACTCGCAGCCATTTTACCGAGCCGAATACAAAG